AAAGTTTAAATGATAAGAGTAAGATTTCAAAAGCTTATTTGCAGAGAACTCATTCCCGTTTGTTAATATTTCGATTTCTATCGGGAGATCTGCTAATTCATGGGTTCTGGATCAAGTGCCCAGTGTAAAGTCCGACAGTGTTGTCAGTGCCAGGGGGACACAGAATTCTACTGTAACACGTGTGAACATGACTTGTGTCTGCATTGTAAAGAGAAAGATGTCATTGATTTATATACTACACACCATAATGTTGTGACTTACCGAGAAAAATATGACATCTTAAAACAATACTGTTATTCATGTGAACTTCCTGTCTGTGCAAAGTGTGAAAAGCACCAACAAAACGCACTACTGAACATTAGAACAGAGTATAAAACAAACCGTGAACAACACAGAGACATCATTCAGAGGATTAGAAGTGAGGCTCTCTTTCATAACCTTTTCTCCTGGCAAACATCAAAACTGATTTTAAAAGTGGTCAAAAGGAGATCTTTAACCATCAGTTAAAAATGTCATAAAAAGCTGAGAGACTTAAGGACCTCATTATCACAGTGATGTGTAATGCTAAATTAAGAATGATCATGATCAATCATGGGCTACAACAACGTAAGAGAACCCTTGCCAGGATAGAAAACTATTAAAACAGATATGAACAATCAGCAAACAGAGCGGTTCATTTCCTCTTTTTCATTAAAAAAAACTTTCGTCCCGAAGATAGAAGAACTTCTACATAATTACGAGAGTATTGGGAGGGAACTTTTTTTCGAAATGTATTGGGATTTTAAATCTAGCCTGGAAAAGAGGGGAACAATGTCAGAATACTTTGCAGAAATATCTTGAAATCAGTCTATGGAAGTCTATGGTAATTAAAGAAATTCCAGGAAAACACAATGAAAACTGATATACTTAAAATATTTAGTTCCAGATAATTTCAAAAAACTTGATAGCATTACAATTTTTCATTGAGTCTATAATATCAAATGGTAATAATAAATCAATGTTTCTTTTAAAATGTGTTCTGATACAACTATTGCATACACTTTTTAAAAAGTATTCTCACATGAAGTTTTTTACATCAAAGGTTTACAAAATATCCAAGAAAAATGTGATTACAGGAGGATCGCTTTGGTTAAATCAATAATTATCATGTTATGACAAACATGTAACTATTTAGTAAACTCCAGTCAACTCCATGAGAAAATAAAACCAAATGACTTTTGAGTCTTGTGTCTCAACGCCCACAGTTTAAAAATCTTGTGGACTTTGTATTGTTTTATGAACTTTGATAAACTGATTACTTTATTTATGAAAATGCAGACTTTAATTCTTTTTGAGTAAAGATTATTAGGTGCAAGGTATTCCTTTATTGGGTCTATCAAAACTATATTGTTAAATGCTTTAAAGAAATTTTTTTTATTTTTGAGAAATCAGGATGAATATGCAGGTGTGAAGTATAGTACATGCAGGTCATGTACCTCATGAATTATCAATCTCATATTTTTTAATATTTAGTTTATTTTCTGATGACTTGCCACATATTTTTGTCATTAAATGATCATTCTTAAAAAAAAAAGTTGCACTTTTTTCTTCAATCACATCAAAATGGAAATATTCTTACTCATCCCATGGTAGTTCATGAGAAAATGAACCTTTTCTAATTTGCAAAGAAAACAGTTGAAAAATAATTGGAATTATTAAAGATATTGATGTTAAGAGGGGGATACTTTTTTTTAAATTTCTTCTAAAAGAGATAAGTGAATAAAGCTTGAAGCCTAAAGGTTCATAGATATAAAAATCTTTCCAAATTGTAAATTTAATCTTACTATTAAGAGTAAAGTTCTCATGCAGTTGCTGTTTTTTTTTTTGCTAAGAAATCAATATTTGCGAATAAGTTGTATAAATAAATGTTTTTAAAAGTAATGAAATTATGATACAAGTAAACAAAATGTTTGTGAGTAAAACTTCTTTTTTATAAAAAAAAAAAAGTGGTGTGCTTTGGATTCAAACCATAGCAATAAAAATATTGAGTATCATTTTCTTTTGAGACTAGAGTGGCAGTTTCTTCAGGTTGAAAGAAACGCAGTTATTCCCTTCTCGCAAATTCATTGGTATAATATACATAAGCTACTTGTGAATTTTACAACTACGTTGTGAATAAAATTTTATTGAAAGATATCAAAGTTATATTATTTAAAGGTTATTAAGTATTTATATCATTGTGAAAACTTAAATTTTTGTTGATTTCATAAAGATGTAATTAGTCAAATGAAAAAAAGTAACTGTTTGCTTAAATAAAATGAAATATTTGAAGATTTTTTCCTCATCTATGTTATTAAATTGGAGTTTTTAAAATAAAGGATATAGAGATAAAGAACAGTATTAGATATCAAAGTCCAAAAAACAATACAAAGTAGGAGCAGAGCAAACACGGACCTCCAAAACATCAGTAATCAGTAAAAGCAATAAATGGAAGTTAGTTTTGAAAATCATATTTATTTGATATATTTCAAAACTTCAGTCCATTATTTATGATATTACTTGAATTTGAAAATTTCTTTAAGTCTTTGACTAAATTTTTTAAACTAAATTCTTTGTTCTTTAAAAATTTTAAGAAGCATAAAAGATATATTCTTACGCCGTCTTTCTGCCAAAAATATAGATCATACTAGATTTTGAACTCGGTTGAGAAAAGAAAAATATCCTTTTCATTCCTTCCATCTAAATATATCTATAGGACATAAGCAAATATACATTGAATTTTTCATTGAGGCAAGATTCTTCTCAGGTTTCTAACTAAACGAAATATTCACAGACAAGTATATTTGCTAGCTAGAGTAGTAAAAGTTTAATAAATAGAAATAGTGAACTGCGTTTAAAAACTAGAACTATAGCTTGATGGAATGGTGGCGAATAAAAATACCTTTTCTGCCTCTCAAAATTTACTGTATATAACCCCAGATTTACATGTTCTTACCAGATATTGCAGAAATGTTCATATATTTCTAGGAAAAATCTCAAGCTGGGAAACGAGTAACAGTAAGCTGGGATATCACTGTGTTCCTCCGTAAATTAATACCGGTTTAAGATTACGTTAATCTAGGCCACTATAGAAAAGCTTCTCAGGTCAACTCAACTTAATCGCAAATTCCGCTTCAAAATCCGCGCCCCCGAATGTCACCATTCCGCGCGCCAATATGTAGGGTTATACGCAGTGAAATTATTATTGAACAATGAATTTAGTTATATTTTCACAATCAAAAACTTGAAGAAATTTTCAAATGTAAGATAAATTAATAATAAGGACTAAAGTAAAATATATTAGAAAATATGATTTTTCAAACAATTGAGAACAATGTCAGCTTTTAAAAGCTCCCAATAAAAGAACAGATTACAGCAAAAAATCTGTAAAAAGTTTTTCTTTCCATGTAGTAAATGATCAAACTTTTTGTTTTTGTATGAGTTTTATCTTTATGTGAAAACCGTACCATATGTAAAAATAATAAAATAGAGAAAGTATATAAAAATAACTAATGTATATATTCTAAAAATTTAAGAAATGTAAAACAAATTAGCCAATATCCATTTTAGTTGAATTATTTACGTCAGTTTGGTAAAATCATCTTTTAGGCACAATATGGTTGTATATTTTTATGCAGAACGAAAAACATTCAATATTTCGAAATACAAGTATGGATAGCATGATTGGCAACAGTAATATTTCTGTTCTTTATGTCGAAGAAACAGGTGATGACCTTGACCTGACCTTGCCTCTTACATTAACGTTCAAATTCAATCTCATTGATACCATCACCTACTGATATAAATAATTAATTGTATATTGTTTAATGTCCCTCTCGAGAATTTTTTATTCAGATGTAGACGCCCACATCCGAGAAGAATCCCAGTAACCAGAATCCATTCTGAAGCAGATGTTTAATTTGGCATTTCAATATTCCATTTACAAATCATGCATGCAATATTATCGTACAAAGGTAATCAACATAAAATACAAAGAAAATATAGTACATTTTAAATATTTTGAAAAAATATTGATTTTGACTCCAAACTATACAGAATAGAGCGACTGACAAAATATACGAGAAGTAAGAACATGATAGACAAGAAGTTAAAACTAATGTTCTAATCTTCACATTAATATGATGAAAACGTTGGCTTTGAATTGACAAATTCATAATAAAAGATAAATAAGTGATTGATAGATTACATGTTAGTTAACGTCCATCTCAAGTTTTTTCACTCATATGGAGACACCACAACTTACCGGCGGAGAGCTTCAAATTCTGTACTTTACTCGGTACTAAGGCCTATTCAGCAGTCTGGGATCGTTTCGTGCCAACACCTACTGCGATATGGGACCTTGGTTTTTACTTTCACAACCATAGGACAGGTTTCCACCTCTTGCAGTGGGATTCGAATCCGCGACGGAAGAAAAAAGTGATTGTTTAGCGCAAATATCTAATAAAATGTTCTTGAAAATTCATTATTGCACTTTTGACAGGCTGTGTAACGTGCAGTAAATATAAATATTTTTTTTCTTCTGATAATATTTGTACACAATAACGGTAAAACTATCCTCAATTCCAATCATTAATATGTTCTGATCACCCAAACAAAGAGCGCAGGGTATCTTTGGACATTGATCGATATCTTGTATGAGTAAAAAAAGGAAGGAACTCCCCATTCATATTCAGCAGGTGGACACTGGAAAATTTTCAAAACAAGGTGCTGTAGCTATTAAACATTAAGATATGTCATAGCTTTTCTGTACAGATTCCTTATGGATGAAATCAAGACTGCTACCACCTACAGTTTTGGTTTGATTTCAATTTTATAACAAATGATAAATATATAAATGCTTAGGACAACTATCTCACACCTTATATACTGTGCTTGGTAATTCATCAAGAGTTGTGCTTAATGCAATTTTGACAGAATGTTTAACATCCAGTAAATATTAATGTTTAATTTTCTTTCTTCTTTTAATATTTGTACAGAGTGACAGTAGAACTTTCCTCACTTCCGACCATTATTGTGCCCTGATCATCCACACAGAGAGCGCGGGGTTTCCTAGGACATTGATCTGATGGAATTAAAAGGGACAGGAACTGACCAGTCATATCCAGAAGGTGGACGCTGGAATAATTTCTAAAGAAGTGACAGTAACTATTACACACCAAGATATGTCCCAAATTGTCTGTACAGATACCATTTGGATGGAATCCAGATTGAGACTGGTGCCCGAAGTAAGAGAACCGGTGCTGTCCGGATCTTCTCACCACAACAATGCTACGGGCGGTATAATCTGATGTACAGACATCACCGTTGATGTTCTCTGTGATGTAGGCTATACTCTTGTAAAGGTTGATCCCTTTTTCATCTCTTTGGATCACTTGGAGTTTCTTCCCTTCCTTGCTGAATCTGGTCACCTTGAATTCTTTATTTTTATTCATCCCCACTAGTATATCTCCATTGATGTGGGAGGAGTAAATAGCCCCCGGTTCCAACTCCTCACACGACATTACTCTCGAGGTGGTCAATTCGCTAGTAACCTGGCAGATTTCTTTAGTTTTGGCAATTGTGAAGAAAAGTTTTCCCTCCATGGAAATGGAGTGATAGCCTATGGCATCTACCGCATTATTTCTAATTTTCTTCAGCACAATCCCCTCCTTGTCAAAAAGGATGAGGTCACCCCAGCTGTTACTGGCCCAGAAATTACCAGAAGACAAAACAGATAAATGATAGGCTAGTGTACGTATGTTAATTTTTCCTTCCTCTTTCACTTCAAATTGAATCGACGGAGCAACTAAAATATCGCACAGCGACTTTGTCCTTTTGCTTTCTGCTTCTTTCGCCTTGCTCAGAGGTGGAAAGGTCTGACCAGGATTCATTGTTTCTTCGTGTCGACAGGATTTCAATTCTTTTACTGGCCGGCTAATTTCTCCATATTGTTTTTCGATCATCTTTTTATCTATTGCATCTTTAATGAATGTCGGTACTGTTGTATGACCAGTTCCAGGGTCCTTTAATATGTTCGCCAATCTATGATGGAATGTTAAGAGATTGGACGGCTTCGTTAATGCTGATTCCATTTCCTTTTTAAGCTTTACAATTGAGTCTTCTATTTTTAACCCCTCTTTTTCTTTTTCTTTTAAATACAAATCTTTCATCTCACCAAGATCACAAACCTTTTCGGTAAGGACAATATTAACAATTTCTTTTATCTCACCAGCTCTTTGCGTCATGGCTGATTTCGTCAGATGAAATCTTTCTTCATCTTTTTCTTTTCGTTCTTTCTGGGAATTAAGTTTTTCTTCGCGGATATTTTTCAGTTGATCTTTACATTGTTGTAGTCTTTTATTATAGACAATCTCTAAATCGGAGGTCTGGTGATTACTGTGATTTGAAGTAGAGCATCTGTAACAAATAGGAACACTGCAAGAGTCGCAGTAGATTTCAAGATCTCTTGTTGGATGGATTGTACATTTTTCTGCCGGTAAAGGTATTCTTCTGTCTTTGTAGAGAACAAGGGGTGTCCCCCTGGAATTTACAAGGTTAAAAATGTACATACAAAAGCAAAAAAAAAGTTACCATGGACCCCCCCACCTTGGAAAACGCTGACCCTCCAGGTACGCGAAGATGAGTGATATGGATATGAAAAGTGAAAGATTTGAGGCAATAGAAGTCATAGAACCCCCCCCCCCAAAAAAAAATAAATAAATAAAATAATGTATTGACGTCATTTAAGCGAGTTGATTTTTATTTTTTTTTTTATTTTTATTTTTTATCATTTTTTTTTTTTTGCTTTTCAAGAAATTTCTGGATTTGGTTTTTTTTTGAATGGGATCGATCCCCCCCCCCCACATCTAACTTAAAAAAAATTCTGGATCCCCACCTTTATCCATCATAAGAATATGAAATGACAATCTTAAGAAAAAGTGTTAGAAAATGGAGCCCTATTTTTTAAACAATAACTAAATCAAAATTATATTTATGATAAGTTTCTAAAAAAGCAGTGCGATTGCAAAATTCCTACCTGCTCATCTGAACAATTTGCATCGAAATTTTATTTCATTTTTCTTGTCATTAAAAATTAGATATAAAGAAAAATAAATTTGTTTGATAAATATTCCAAAGTTAAAACATTAAAACACCTCGACAATCCGTGACTCAGACAGCATGACTACGTATACGTTGGACCAACGTTGGTTAAATTATATACGATGTACGGTTGGCAGAGAGGTGGCATTAGGTAGACAATGTTATGCGAACGTTGGACAGACGTTACAATGGGAATCACCTTTTTAGTACCCAACCATGTTGGGAGTCTTACGTTGGCCCAGCATTGGTCCAACATCTCTGCTTCAAATACTATTTCAAATGTGTAAGAACTAAGACATTTCTCCATCAGAAAACTGGTTTGCAAGAAAATGAATTTCTAATATGGCCAATATTTCTTTCATTGTAACACAATGTGTGGGAGAAAAAACATCGTTTCCAATATTTACCTTTCTGTTTTTCCCTTAAGGCCCCCACTAAAATGTCCATTTCCTGAAAATCATGAGAATAATTATGTTAAAAATAAACAGAATAGAAAAATTTCTGCATAATCAACTAAGATATGTTCATGATATTAACTAAATTTTCTTAGAGAAATGTTACTTACCAGTTTCGTGATAGATGGTTTGGTTATTTAGTGATATAATCAAATCGTCGGACTGTAAATCGAAACAAGCTAGATACGAAGGATAAAGAAGTAAATCAAGAATTTGTTTTCCTATCGCTCCCCTCTCTAAGTCCTTATTGTAAAGTTCAAAGCCTTTATCGGTGGAAAATTTAAGCTTTAGTACTAGACTGCCAATGTTGCTGCTTATTTTAGCAGCATACTCTCTTTTAATGTAACGGATGAATTCTGTAAATTTGTTCAAAATATTAATCTCTCGCTCACGTTGATCGGTATACTTTTTTATCTTTGATAACAATTTGTCGAAGATTAGTTTGAGAAAATCCATTGACATGTCTTTTGATTTATCTTTTAGAGATTCAACTATTTTGTCATATATTATATTTAGCTCCTCGTCTATGGACGGCTCATCAATATGATCTACAATTCGATTCAAAAGGTAATTTGTTATTCCTAAAAAAAAATTGGTAACTTCTTTCTTTGCTGAATCTTTTAATGTAACATCTACTGTTGCAGTGGCAATGATTGATCCTGCAATTAAGAAAGCATATATTATATTGTATTTCATTAACTATAGTAGAAATGAAATTGTGACTGATATGTTTTACATTATATAAATAGTGTTCAATATTTTAGGATAACAGATAATATTGACACCCCAAGGACAATGTCATATGTAAAATTTCAATATATTTACATTACATATGTTTTTTTTTCATATAAATGCATAGAAATCTATTCAAAGCACCATAACACAGAAGAGTGTCATAAGGTTTAGGCATGCCTTTTAGTTAAATGTCATAATCGTTGAACGCAGAGTAAATGCAACGTCACAATCGTAAATATTAAAAAAACACGCTCAAATCGACCAGAAGCTGTTACGTTGGCTGATCAATTAACTGTAGCTTACACGAGGGATGATACATAAGTTTTTGAATAGAAATCACATTTGCAGTTACGATAGAAAGTTGAAAATGTAAATATATTTAAATGAATCATTATTTTTTCAAGATATAGTCTCATAACTGCTAGGGTATGTGCAAACAAATTTTCATAACGTGCTATAATGAGCGTGACTCAGTTTGCTTGCACACACCGTTGCAGTTATGAGACTTTATCGTTAAAAATAATGATTCATTGCTTAATTGTCTTAATATCTCATGGCAAATTCATACTTTAACTTTTGAAATGTAAACATAATATGTAAATTTACAAGCAGTGTACCAATCAAACAGAATATTAGTATCGTCGTTTAGCACTTCTATGATTTATTTATTTTTTTCAGGCGAGGGTAAAACGTTAATAGGATGGTCCTGTGGTTAACGGATTAACGAGTCTGTATTCGATTGTCATCCCTAATATAGAGATGAATATAAATATATATGGCAATAAATCAGTACCGTATTCTAATCCTTCTATCGAAGCTGCCACTGCTGTCATCACTGACTCTTTCATTTTTTCCATCCACTCACTTTCCAGTTCCTCATCAGGTGAGTATGTCTGAGCATTTTGAAGACGTTGAATGTAGTTTTTATGTAGGTGGTTCTCCATTCTTTCACACAGGCTTTGTATGACTGTCCAACACTCATTGAACTCTTTTTCCGAAATGCATGTAGTAGAAGCATGGCTGTAAAGATTGTTTCTGATCAAGCGAATTCGTTCTATGTCATCTCCAACACTTATCTCTCCCTGAGCAGGCATTTCTGAGATCCCCCATCCTTGTGTTGGTGTGATATTTGGACAAAGATTACGTATCAACGTATATAGTAGATTAATATCAAAGTATTTGTATCCATCAGTTTGGGCTCTTTGGACGTTTAGAAGTTGATCACGCCGAAGTTTATTAAACAACCTGATATTTGATTTTACCTTTTTATATAAAGCACTAAATGATATTTCATTTTCAATCACATCTCGTAAAATTGGCGTCAGTTCTTCAACAATGACCACAACAAGTCTTAAAAATCTTGTTCTGTCACTTGAAACTGAAGCTTTACTGCAGGCCATACTAAAAAAAAAGATACATACATTAAAAAAAAACCACAGTATACATACGTACATGTATTTGTTGACCTGTTTCCTATTTCAAACATTTATAAAACACAAAATCAAAGTTAAAAAATATGTATATATCATCTATGTGATTCAAGATTGATTAAACATCTCAATGAGTTACATGCGTATGTACGGGTAATACCTATTTTGATTTAGCATCCGTCACTTCCGGTTGAAACAGGAAGCGGTTAAAATTTCAACTGTTTTGAAAAAATTAATCTTTTTAAATAAAGAAGATTATAACTTATGTCCAAATTATAATCGTCAACAAAAAACACTTCCATAGGAAGTACTTCAGGTGTAAGCTGGAAGTTGCAAAAAAAATTATAAAATAAAACGTTTTCTCTTGAATCTAAAGAAATGAAATAAAATGATTTAATTTGTGATTTTTGAAAGCTTTTGTTTCAAGCCTAGTGACTTCAGCAGGAGATTATGCCTGTTTTGTCAAATGATGCACCTACGGCCAATGGGAAATTACGCGAAGTAGTCAGATTATTTTGCCGTTTTCGACATAATGATAGTTTTTTTTTTTTTTTTAATTAATACTTTTTTTTATTTCACACAAGGTGAATGGGATCGGATAGCAGGCAAAGCCTATTTCTTCTCCCATATTATTAATTTTGTTATTATTACACTTATTATGGGATCAGAAGCGTCCAATCAAATTTTTCATTCCTCTACATCACTTCATGTCAAATCGGAAGTAGCTAAAAATAGCTTTTTTTCAGATTTGACGCAAAATTGAAACGTCAAAGTAACTTGAAACGTATAAACTAATTGCTTTCTTTTATTTACATCACTTTCGGTCAAAACAGGACGTAAGACTTACTTTGCAACGATCTTTGCTCTATTTATTGTCTAATCTCTTAGATGCATATAGTCGAAAATTACAAAGTGGTAGAAAATATATTTTCCCCGAAACCTCTTTTTCATAATTATAACAGCAGTGAATGGGAAACTTTGAGGAGACTGTGTAAAAATATTATTTTTTAAAATTGACTTGTTAGATATTGATATAAAATCCCAGAATTATAAATTAAACTTTGCCAAGATCGATTACATCAAAATGCATGACTCAAAAAGGCTATAAATAAACATTCCAAAAAATAGATTTAAAAGCAGCTTTTTGAAGCGTCAACCATTTGTAATTTCATTTCCTTTAAAGGTTATCTACAAATCTTTGTTAAAATATCATTCTCATGCTACACTTCAGATAAAATAATTGTAACTCTTACATGTATCAAGTAATAAATGTTTTTGTTATACCCCCATAAAAAGCTTTCTATATTTTAATTTCTAATAAAAAGTCCAACAAAAGAAATGTTCATGATTGTTAGACCGCAACATCAATGTTACAGTACCGACCAGACCCAACCTGACATCAAAGCAGTCCCAGAAAGCAGTCCCCGGGACTGCTTTGGGACCGCTCTGGGACTGCTGTGGGACTGCTCTGGGACCGCTGTGGGACTGCTCTGGGACCGCTATGGGACTGCTCTGGGACTGCTATGAAAAGCAGTCCCAGCAGTCCCAGCTGCCCCTGGGACTGCTTTCTGGGACTGCTTTGTTCACTCATGTGTAAAAAAGGTTCTGAGTGACATGATAGCTCAGCGCCCTGTGTATTCTGAATTTGCAGACTCCCTGTTGTTTTGTTTACTTGCAGCAGAGATGAGTTTAAACTGTTTAATAAGCAAGAATTTCTTAAATTCTTTTAATAAGTAGAGATTATTATAGTTAATTATATTTTCAGGGACTGTATATTTACACAAATTAATGTGTATTTAGAATAAAAAAAAAAATAAAGTTGATAAATAAGGAAATCATGAGAAAAATGTTATCCCTAAAAATAAACAACAAGTTTATGAGAAAAAAAAAGCTACATGTGGGCCTTTTTTAATTGAGCCTCGACGGATAGAAATCGACCTTATGGCAAAATTTATCGAATTTGAGATTTTTGTGTTTTTTAATAGTCCACGTAAAACCATTACAAAAACTGAAAACGGAATCAAAATATCTTCTTTTATAACAAAGTTATTACATTTTGAAAGTGGTATGTTTGCAAAATTAATTTTGAGCATATCGTGGTTTTTTTCACAATTGTGACGTCATGGTTTATTCTCAGTTGTTCGGTAAGGCACCCGTCAACGCGTAGCAATCCAACTGGTCATCCTGTCTAAGTTAATTAAGAATTGCTTAATATATGACAAAAACAGATCATGATGTACAATCCCAAAAACTGTGTTAACTGTATTTTAAACCCTTTAAAAAACGAATACTCCCCCCCCCCCAAAAAAAAAACAAAAACTTAAATTTCTACTTTTCTGTCTTTCGTACCGATAGCTTCGTCTATATGAACAACTGAACTTCCAATAAACAAAATATAGATCTACACTATGATGCTTTTATGTTTGATGAAGCATGTATTCTCAAAACATGCAAGTTAGTTAACACACACTGTTTGATTTTACGTCATCACCATGTAAAGGAAAAAAAGGAACAAATGAAATCGAGTCAAAATTTACAGGGATTCGAATTCGATCTCAGAAATACCTTAGGCTAGTTTCTTACAGAAAATACATGAACCATGCAGCCAATAAAATCATAACTTAAATCATGCTTCTATAATTATTCTTATGTAATAAATAATAAGAATCACATCGATCTGTACATATATAGTGAAATCAAACATGGTGTGGTACTAGCCTTGTGTCTAAAAGTAAGCTCATTTTATTAGGATTTTCCCTCCTAAAACCTTTCTACTGCAGCCACATTCACCTTCAAATAGCTAGTTCATATACTCCCTCTTTTCCTCCATATCATTCTCGCTTGGTTGTAATTGGACGGATAGATCGACAAAAAAAAATAACCACTATGTCTTTAAACTATTAACCCCCCCCCCTCCCCTCCTAGTGAAAAAACAAATTGTCTTTTCATCAAATGTCTATTATCCATAATGTAGAAAAATAAATAATTAAATAGAATATCATGTTAAACAATATACATGTACGACTTATTGATTGATTGAATTTTGCTAAGCGCCGAGTCGGCAAGATTTCAGCCATTATCGGCGGGAATTTTTTATCTGTTGCATGCAAAATACATGTAGTTGGTAATCTTAACATATTTTAAAAGGAACTATTTAACGTTTCATCCGACGGATTATGATTTCAAAAACATGTAAACCGTTAAATAAGATTTCTCTCTGTATTCATCAAGAAAATATCTCATAATGTACAAAATTTTACTTTAAAATTCAATTTGATGTAAATAATCTAAAGTTCTCTTAAATCTAATATTGTTAAATAAAATAATAATCATGCATCGTTCGTACATTATTAATTACTTCGTATGTGAGAAACCCCACCTTATTTTAGAAGAATAAGATTTATATGCATGTAGCGGAAACTCACGGGAAACAAAATTGTATACACATGCATTGGCTGAAATTCTCGACATGCATTATTTGTGGACGATTTGCGGAAGACAGATGATTTATTATTATTTTTTTGTTCCTTTTATCTTAAAGTTAATCATCATCGGATACCCAAAGATGATCTCATCTTTACTCATGACCGAGTGATAAGTAAAGACGAGGTCACTCGTGGGTTTCCGACGATGATTGATTGTATATTGTTTAACGTCCCTCTCGAGAATTTTTCACTCATATGGAGACGCCACCACTTGCCGGTGGAGAGCTGCAAATTTTGTCCTATACTCGGCACTTGCGGCCAATGAACAAAGAGGGATCTTTTCGTGCCAGCACCTACTGCGACACGGGACCTCGGTTTATATGGTCTCATCCGATTGACCGGTCTCCACGTCCCACAGTGGGATTCGAACACGCGATGTCAGGATTGACTCCTTACTTCGCGACTCTAGAGCAGACGCTCTAACCACTGCACCACGTGGGCGACTTCCGACGATGATAGTATAGTTTATTTGTAACGCAACATTCTAATGCATTTGAAAAAGAGAATTTACATAACGTATACAAAATACTTTTATCAACAGAAAAAATGAAGGGATATCAATATGAATTTCAGAAATGCCAAAAATATAAATTCTTTGTTACCTGGAGTATTAGAAATGCATTGAGGGAAAGAAAAAGAAAAACAAGGGCTTTGTTGAATTACGATATAAAACCATGTGGAACATTTTCTTTCTTTTACTGCAAACGAACTACATGTAAATGTTAAAAACAGCATTGATTACGAATAGACTGTACTGAGAATGTCTTGATAATTATTTTATTAGGAAATGCAGTTAAACCAATTAAAAAGAGAATAAATAATGCTATAAATTAGATAGTCGGATTCAGCTTGGGTGCTTAGGATTCTAAAATAAATTATATTTAGCCAGCAAAGTAGCTTGATTTAAATACATATATGCTGACTAAAGAAGCCCCCCCCCCCTCCAAAAAAAAAAAAATCCTGTTTCTAACACATTCCAACACAACACATATAAAATTATAGACATTTCATAATTATTCAAATCAATTAAAAAAAGGAGATTTATAATAAAGTTGTCTGTTGTAGGTATCCACCCTCTCTTTAAAAGAAGAATTTTAAAATGTAGAGAACTTTTTGGTGTTATAATTGAAAGTCTTAGTACAAAACGAAACCATACTCTTGTTATTCATGAACAAGGGAAATCCTGCTCAAGATGATTTTTGAAAAGTTTGGTATTAACGGGTTTCAAAATACTTAACATTATGCTGAATATTTAAGAACATCTCTCACAAAACTATATACATCCGACTTTAGAGTATTTTTTTTTTTGGTTTACAACTCTTTATAATATTAATGACATAGAAGGATATGTTTTACAAACCGGGCCCATCTTTTTACATTTTCGCCAGCCAAGTTAAAGAAATTAAAAAATCATAGATAATCCATCGTCGGTATTTTTTTTTTATAAACTTTCAAAATAAGGAGTGAAATATTTAAGAA